GAAACGTCAAAAAGAGAACAACAATATCCACAGAACAGAAAAAATCACCCAGGAATCCCAGTAGAATAATGCTTTTGGTGCCAGTTCCCCTAAAACACATACACATGCATGCGTTCACATGTGTACACAAACTCATGGGATGAGGAGACAGGAGCAGATTCATTTCTGAAACATAAAGAAGGTTTTAACAAAACGTTTTCTATCTTAATTTTCTAGTCTTTATACCCTTATTAGCTTATGATTTTCAGCTATTCATAATATCTATTTATTACTTTACACTCTATCTCAATTCCAAAAGATATGAGATGCTATTTTGTCATATTCCATATTCAAAGTCATGGATAATTGAAATATATAATTAATCCAAAAAATGTCATGTAGTTGAAAGAGCACTGTCCTAGAAGCCAAGAGCTGAAGGTTCCAATGATAGTTCTTTAACCAAATAGTTATTTGGTATTAGCATACACTTTCTCTAAGCTTTTTTCTTTCTTTCTTTTCTTATTGTAAGGTAATGACAATTGTCTATGGAACTGGCTATTTCTATACCTGCATTTCATAAAGGTTGTTCTAAGGGGTGCTAACAATTCTTTTGGTGGTAGTGGGGTGCTTTGCTGTAGGAATTGTAAACAACATTGGGATTTTCTGCTGCCTGCTCAACACTTTCTTCCAGTCCTATTTGGATAATAAACATCAATGAAACAGAATAGCTTCTAGAACTTAAGTGCTCAATAAATGTTATTTGTTAATTAACTAGAATCAAATATATGCTGAAATCCTGAAACATGTCGAAAAGTAATATTGGTTCCACAAAGAAGACTTAGACAATTCCTGGACTAGGTAATTTTAAAACACAAATGGTCTCTGAATCTGATTCTTGCTACTTCGCCTGTTGTTTGTTTTGCCATGTCTCTTCTTTTAAATAGGCTAATCAGCAACCTCTAGGCCACACAGTAAAAAGCATCAACCAAATTTAGAAACTTAGAATCTTTAAGTATTCCTGTGATTTGCTAGTTAAGGCTGAGTCAGGACTTACTCACTTAGCATTACATTAGAAAATCCATTAGAAAATAAATGGTAAGGAATTATTTAGATGAATAAAGTTGGAATTGTGTGGTTGCCCACTTGATTTAAAATTCTTCTTACAAATTAAAAATATATACCCCATTAGCTTATAGGGCATAAAACTATAAACCTTTTTAGATGAGTGGAACATTTCTTCAATGCATTTTGTGCCACTTTGTTGTTGAATAAAGAATTAAGACATTTATTTATTGTACATCTACTGCACTGTCTTGAAAATTTGGGCAAGGCATCCAAACCATGGCTAATATCTGAGCTTGAGCTTAAAGGGTGCATCTGTTCACCAACCAGACAAGAGGCATAGGGGGTGAGTACCTATAAGGCATGGGGTTTGAAACAAGCGGCACTTGGGACACTGGTAAGTGGTTCACAGAGGCTGCATGTTCGGGTGACTGTAGGGGTGTGGCCAGGAATGCAAGTGGGCAGAGGAGGTAGCCAGGTCATGAAGAGCCTGAGTATAAACTTTCTGCATATTCTCTGCATAATTATTTCATCCTGGAAGATACAAAAAGAATAGCAGGGGCCACAGTAGGGAAAGTTTTTTTTTTATTATTTAAATATATTTTATTGAGTTTTAACAGAGAGGAAGGGAGAGAGAGAGTTAACATCGATCAGCTGCCTCCTGCACACCTTCTATTGGTGATGTGCCCGCAACCAAGATACATGCCTTTGACCAGAATTGAACCTGAGACCTTTCAGTCCACAGTCCGATGCACTATCCACTGAGCCAAACCAGGTAGGGCAAGGCTGTTGGTTTTTAACAGAATACTGCTGATGATTAGCTTGTTTTGACAAAAGAGATATAAAATTATACTGAATTTTGAATACATTTTAACCCTCAATATCAGTTAAAATTTTGAGTGATTAATATGACCCAATCATAAAAATGTCTTGATTCCTAACATGTGTTAAATTGTGTCTCCTTAAGCCAGACAAGCAGGAGAGTTAGGGAGGATTAAATTCCAGCTTCCCGAAGGGGCCTCAAGAAAGAAACAACAGTGAGAAGAGGCGCTTGTTTTTCCTACACCAGCCTGGGAGGGCGTATGGGCCCCATGACAAGCAGGGCCAGTTCCAATGGCCTCGGGGAGCTGAGTGGGGAGCAGGGCTGGGCTCCGTGTTTGGCATTGTATGTGCACAATGTTATGATGAATCGCTGGGACACAAATGCTGCTGCTTCTCCAGATGACCCTCCCACGCTTCATGTAAACAGGATCTCCAGGGGGCTGGCAGCACAGCTCCGGGAGGACCCATGGCTAAGGGCCGCTGCCAGGCACATCCCTCCATCCTGAGATGACGCCTGCCCAACTTCTGACCACATCCTTCCCCGAGGCAACAACAAACAAACAAAACAAAACGGGTGGACACCAAAGCTGGCTGTTTTGCTTCCTTCTTCCATTTGTCAGAGAAACTACATACATAGGCTTTTTCTTTGCTTTTAAAGTTCAAGATATGAAAAGTACTCAATCTGATGGGACCCTGAGTGTAGATAAGGGGTGATTTTGTCATTGTTCATCCCTGCCCAAATTCCTCCAGCGAGGAATTGAGAAGCCACCTGCATCAGCTTACTAGTGAGTGTGGACATGGTCCTCCTCGCAGCAGTACGCCGCTAGAAGCTGTTAAGCCGGGGCCGTATCGTCAGATTTGTGACTTAGGAAGGCGGTGGGGGCAGAGCAGGGGTTACACACTGCAGCGCTTTCTAGGAAGGGGTAAGTTGGAAGCTTTGCAAGCTTCTGATTAATGATAAGGGTCTGGGGTGCTGCAATGGTGTGGAGAGGAGGCTGGAGAAAGTGGAGACGGTGGGAAGGAAAAGGAGGAGCTGGAGAGGAAGCCCTGATTTCAGACCCAGTGTCTGGGAGTCATACTGATCACTTTAACAGTTAGCTCATCTCATCCTTGGACCCACAGAACAGGGGAAATGGGAATTGAAGCCAACAAGTTAGCGTTTGCAGGGTTTTCATATGTATTCACAAAGTAAATCCCAGGAAAATTAAATCAATTATATATATATATATATAAATTATATATATTAAATCAATATATATAAATATATATTTATATAATATATATAAATTAAATCAATTATATATATATATATATATATATATATATTATTTGTTTGTTTGTTTTATAACAGCATATAAAAGGCACACTGCCAGTTGTTCCTGACACTGGAACCACTATCACATCCTGGCCTTGACACCTAACAGTTTTGTGATTTTTGATGAGTCACTGAACTGCCCTGTGCCTGCCTTATCCCTTAAATGAAGGGAATGACAGAAGTCAACTAAGTATCATGATGCTTTTAAGTGACCTGTTATGAGTAAAGGATTTAGAATGATCCTTGCCTGATCTTAAGCTTAGTGCTTGTTGTGTAGCCACCATTAATAAATATTATTTTCTATCTCTGCCTTACCACAAATCAGTATTAAAGGAATAGAAAGTCCACTTGCAAAGAGAAACCTCAGCTAACTTCTTTCTCTTCCCACATTCAATGTTATGTGCTCAGATGGTTCAACAAAAGAACACTATGAAAAATCTGAAGAAAAACAAACCTTTTCTCTGAGAATGCGCACGAGAAAGATAAAAACAAATTTCCCGGACGCGAGCACTCCGAGGTGAGGTTTGGCCTCTTGCAGACCGAAGTGTTCACTTATAAATAGAATATCAAAACAAGCAAAGGCAATTTTCCCCTTTCGTCTTCCCTTATTGCCTAATTTTCCTCCCATCTCATTTGCATAATGGATAAAAAGGCATCCATTATGCAAATGAATGACAGGGCTGTGAAGTTGTTGAAGCCACAAACCTGGCTTCCCATGAAGAGAAGCGGTCCGGGGTCCGGGCTGCAAAAGGCTGCTTCTCTCGCTTGCACTCCAGCAAACAGAGGAGCATTCTGGAGCCCAGATAGATCACTACCATCCACCTGCTTCTTCCCAAAGGGGCCTGCACATGCTTCCCAGACAATGAGTGCACAGGATGGACACTCAGAATTGTTGTGAGTAAAAGAAACGTGACAGTATACACTTTGTTTCAGATGCGAAAAATTAGTACTATGTACAGTTGTTACAACGTTAAGCATATGCTTTGCTTTAAAAGGCAAAGTGGAAAAAGGCCCTGTTCAAGCTTGAGAATTTACCTGTAACAGGTGCTCAGAGCTGCACCTCAAAATGTCTGCAAACATTCAATAGGACTAAAAAACTATTTTAAGTACCAAAATATTGAAGTTTCCAGAAACTTCGTGCTGTTAAACTGACCTAAATTTATCTCTAAGTGGTATCACCAAACACTGACATGTTATGTCTCTTACCATCGCCAATTCACTGAAACCTGAGAATGTTTATTTTTCTCCTTCTGCCCACACCTTCAAAACAAATGTAACCAAAAGAGAATTCTGAGCACACTCGCTGGGTGAGTTGCTCTTGTTTTAATAAACCAGTAGGGCAGAAATAAGAAACTAACTTCAAAATGTTTGCCCCAAACTCTGAGACATGTAGTTTGGGGAGAAAAAGAAGGTAGCAAAAACAGACATGACCTTTATTCCTAGAGCGGATTCCTTGATCATGCTTAGCTTATTCCAAATGACATTTTCAGGGACTTAAAAAAAAAAAAAAACAATTCCCATTGGCTACAGAGGAATCATGTGCATCCCAATCCCTCCCCTATGAGACTTCAAGGGCACACGGTTCAGGTTCAGATTCACCTGCCATTCAAGAAAAAATGCTATCGACTTCCCTAAGCCTCAACAACTGCAAAGAGCTATGTAAAAATTAATAATAATGTAGAGAAGAAAGTAGTGCTTTTTGTTGTTTTTTAAAGAAAGATCACTAACATGATAAGTCACAAAGTAGGAGCAACTCATAGTCGGCAAGGAGATATACTGTATATCAGTCAGGTGACAAACACACCACAGAAAATACACATACCTAGTTTCAGAGCAGAAGGGGTCACTTCAATTTCCCCGCCGACTGGTTTGAAGGCAGCCAGTTGGGTAGCCACTTCGGTCTCGAAGGCATCCGGGCTCTGGCGGCCTGCTGGGTTTCCTCCAGGGCTCTCGATCTTCTGGAGGGGTTCTTGTTCATCAAACACAGCAATCAGCTACAAACAAACCCAACAGCACCCATTACAACTTCAGTGGACACACAGGTCACCTGGGTATTGTATCTGGCTGCGATCTTTGCTTTCAATGAAAATGGCCTCTGAAAACTTAAAATGTTAATGTGACTGTTCCCACAATTTTTAATTCAGAATTATGTCTAAAAGCACCATGGCCAGGAAATAATGGACGGTGTGGCTTGAAATAGAGAACCGATTTTGGTTATCTCTCTTGGAGGAATGAAATGATTGCCTCCTCCCCTCCCTTTTTCTAATAAGCCGGGAAGGACTTCAGTGTCACTTTTAAGAGTTGTCCCAAAAGCACAGAAGTTGAACATGCAGAAATGGAATGGTAGACATAGCAAAATCCATAATTACACCTTCCTTTTAGACACAATCATAATAAACTGATAAAATGTGAATATTTGCACAGAATTTGTATTGACCTTGTACACACACATAAATAACCCATTTCTATACATGCATTTAGGTTTATTCTTTACCCACATGACTGATCTATGTTGACTGGTCTGAGTCCAATGAATTTCAATTTGAATGAGAATTAGCATCAGCACTTTAACCCAATTATTCTCATCTTCATCCCAATTTTATTTCACGGGGACCTATGCTTCTTGTCATAAATATAAAAATGTTTGTAATTTCCAATTCATTTTTCATAAAATAAAGGCAAAATATCATAACATATCCCATTCATTGTGCAAACATCATTGTGTAAAACGTGAGGCAATCTGGCTGAGACTGCATTTTTGGCCAGCGGAGAGCACCACCATCAGGGAACCTCTGATGCCCCTTATCACTGATGTGGAAAAGTCTAAACATGAGGGCAGCTCAGGGATGCCACTGTTAGCTCAGGAAAAATGCAGTGTGTGTGCAAATTTGAAAACTGCTAGTAAATATATATTTTTCATTCATTAAATAAAACAAACCTACTTATGACTCAAGCATTTATTCAGGAAAAAGCCCTATTCATAGGGGAATCTTGTTGGCAATAGTATTAATGACACAAGAGCAGGGGTAACCAATCAGAACATCATACATTCCAAGTTCAGTCTTTCAGAAGAAATGAATACAATTAGGGATATGTAAATTGGCTATTCAAAAATGATTTTCATAATTGACTACTCATTTCCAGTATGGAGACTTGTTTAATTGGAAAAGCCAATCCTCTCACCACGGGAAACAAATGCTAGTCCCCAGACATTACTTTTAATTCTTAAAATTGAACACACACATTTTCTATTTTTAATCAGCAGCACTGATGAACTGGTTTCAGAAAAGACTTAAATGGATTAATAATGACAGATTATTCTAATATAAGAATAATCCCTAGAACTATATTTATCTAATCATCTGGCCAAAGTGATGTTTAACACTGTAAATCCTGAGAAGGAAAATAAAATCAATTTTTAAGTGAGGTAAAAGTGTTATTTACATCACTATTTCTGTGACAATTATAATTTCAAATTTATATATTGGTAAATTCTAACACATGTTAGTACATTTATTTTAATTTACCAATCAACTAAGAAAATTGGCTTATTATATGGGTAGTATAAACAGTTTCATGTAAATTAAGAATCATACCTTACTTTTCCCTTTTGTTATATTCTTAACTCAATATATTCTATATATTGTACATATTGAGTCAAAGAGAAAAAATAAATAAATACAAAAGCTTGCACAGCTGGCGTACCTCACTGTTGTGCATCAACCTATGAACCAGGAGGTCACATTTTGATTCCTTCCATGTCAGCACACATGCCTGGGTGTCAGGCTTAATCCCCAGGAGGGGGCATTCAGGAGGCAACCAATCAATGATTCTCTCTCATCACTGATTTTTCAATCTCTCCCTCACTCTTCCTCCCTGAAATCAATAAAAAGCTTAAAATTGAAAACTCATAAATCATTATCTATAGCTGCTATATAACATTTCTTGAGATATTTTACTGATAACCATCTAAATATATAAAAGGTTGATATGTTAAGTGTCCATCCAATAGTTCAACTGGTTGCTATAACACACACTGACCACCAGGGGAAAGATGCTCAATGCAAGAGCTGCCATGATGCACACTGGCCATTTATAAAGAAACTGCACTGCAGACCTGGCACCAGCAAAGCAACACTCCGCTTCCCCCAAGTGGGACACAGGCCCCAGCACCACACCAGAGTGACAGTCCACCAAATCACAGCCAATGCTGCTGAGACTCCGTGGCACAAAATGTGACCCACAGCCCAGCCAAGCCCTGAAATGATTGCTATGGCAATGGGTGATGACATCACATAGCAACACCTGGCTTCCTCTCCCTAGTGACTAGCCTCCTTGAAGTCTCTTCGGCCCAAGAACATTACTTGCTTTATAGCCAGGTGAAAACATTTTACACTTTAACCAAATGTCTGTGAAAGCATTTTCTTGTGCTTCATATCATTTGATCCTCACAGAAGTCCTGGAGTAGGTAGATAGGAGACTTGGTAGAATCCTATTTTCTTTTCATTATAGCCGGAAAATAGAGATTTACAAAGTTTTGAAATTGATCCAACTGAAAAGATATGAGAAATGGTGGATCTTGAAAATGACTTAAGGTTTTCTCACTGGGCAGGATATAGTCAAACACTACTGCAGTTAAATATTTTACTCTTTGTTCTCCCTGTATGATCTACAATAACAATCTGCTTTGTGTTGATATTTACTGCTGTGTTGATAACAATTACCTGAAAGAGAAGTTGGGGTGCCTCACTGGGCTGGAAAAAGTTTAGCTAAATCAGAAAGCAGGTTTAATTAAGCAAGTTTATTCTATATTTATAAAAGAATAAGTTGACTCACACATACATGCTACATACAAAGTTTTCAATAGTACCAGTTGCACATGTGTGTTCTATTCTATTCATACAAGTGTATAGAGTATGTAGTAACAATGTTATACCAAATAATATATGAAATGAGAGAACAAAGTAGTTTGGAGACTGTGTTGTCCAAGTGAACCCTATCATTTTTATTTCCAGTGTAGTGTCTCAGACCACGCTGTAACCATCTTCCCAAAATGAAGGTATAAAAGATGAGGTTGCACTGTGGAATGTTTGTAGTTATTGAGGAGGAAGCTATGGCCTAAACTATAATAAGAATGTGAACATGACTCTATGGAGATACAGGCAATACACAACTTTTCCCAAAGATGATGCTAGTGAGATCTGCCCTATCCATCTCCAAAATCTCATAATCTCTTTGATTAATTAGGTGCTTGGTCTGTCTATGAAACCCATGACTGACAGGAATTATCACTGTACAGCACATTCTGAATGTATGAAGAGCTGAATGAATGACATAGAGTCTCTACCTCTGGAAGGAAGAGGATCGGTTTCTGAGTCTGTGATGCCCAAGGTCACTGGCAGTGCGGATGCTAGCTGAGGAGACTTCTTCAGTCTTCAACCCCACTCTTCAATGCACACAGATGCATAGTTGTTTCAACACTGATAATTATTTTCCAGCATGAGTTGTAGGTGCTTGTTAGCTGGATTGCTTGATTCATCAGAACACTTACATTATTGGGTGACAGAGTTCCTAACACACAGTGTAAGAGATGCATACATTAATTAACATAAACCACTGCTCTAGATCCTCAACAGAAGGCATGCTGACTTCCAAAGTGCCCATTGTTTGCCAGTGGCCTCCCCTCCCTGCCTTAAACCATTTGAAATGGCCTCTCCAAAAGAGATGAATTCAACATCAAAGAAGAAATTCTATCAAATTTGTGGTGAAGGTTTCATCTAGCCTAACCATCTGTGGCATGAAGCAGATTTTTCACTGGCCTGCAGTAGCCTAAACTGTATGCAAAAGGCCACTAGGCAGCACTTGATTTGGACCCACCCTCCTTTGCTGCCCTATCCATCCCTGGTGCCCCTGCTTCCCTCCTGTGATGCCAGCATTCTCATGTCACCCAGTGCGGCACTGGCATTTTCCACAAAGACCATGGTCCCAAATGATCTTTTCAGATAGCCTTGATTTCCAATCAAAACTTCTGTCCCCGCAGATCTCTAACAGGGTACCTAATCTGCATATATGCACAGGAAGAGTTGCCTACAAATATACTGTTCATTCTCCCACCCAAAACAAAAACCCAAACAAGCCAACCTTCTCAGGACTCACCCTTACAGGTGCCACCCAGTTCTTCCCTCCCCTCTAGAGTAAAATCTTAAAGACTTGTGCACAGACCAGTTCCAGTCTCTCTCCTTCATTCCTTTACTTAGGTCACTAGTCAGTGACCTCCACTGAAGCCGGCCTTAACAAGTCAGAGACAATCTGCAGGATACAAAATCCAAAGCCCATCTCGGGCTTGATTTTAGGACACCATCAACTATTGTATCCTCTTTACATCACTTTCTTCACTTGCCTTTCTGTTTCTGGTTAAACATTTTTTCCAATTACAATTGACATTCAATATTATATTAGTTTCAGGTGTATAACATAGTGATTAGATATTGATATAACATACAAAGTGATTACCCAGATAAGTCTAGTACCTACTTGACACCATACATAGTTATTATACTACTAAAGGCCCGGTGCATGAAATTTTTTGCACTGGAGAGGGGGGGTCCCTCAGCCCAACCTGCATCCTCTCATAGTCCAGGACCCCTTACTCCTTACCTCCAGACTACAGCAGAGGTGGGAGAGGCTCTCACCATCATCACTGTGCTCACCAGCCGCAAGCCCAGTTTCTGGCTGAATGGTGCTCCCCTATGGGAGCAGCACACTGACCACTGCATTGAGCATCTGTCCCCTGGTGGTCAGTGCAGGTCATAGCAACTAGTCATTCTGCTGTTCAATTTCCATATTAGGGTTTTATTATATAGGATTATTGACTATATTCCCTATGCTGTACTTTCCATCCCATGACTGTTTCTTATAACTGGAAATGTGTACTTCTTAATTCCTCCCCCTTTTTCACCCATTACCCCAAACCCCCTCCCATCTGGCAAACATC